AAACTTACAATAGAAGATTTGGCAAATTGTTTGTTGGAGCTATATGCAACAATAAAGGCACAACTAAAAAGAGTTTAAGAACAAAAAAAATTAATGCAAATACTTATTGCAAAGAACAACGACAATTTAATGTAGGTAACAAGATGTAGTTACTTTGTGACAGTATCAAGACTACTTGTCCTTGTGACAAATTAGACTATTACAGGCTTAGAATTTTTTTTATTAGTAAATAAGTCAATTATGTTACTTATCAATTATATCTATCGGAGTCTATGAAGATCCATCCTGTATTTTATGTATCTTTTTTTGATCTATATAAGATAGTGAATATCGCATGAAGAAGACAAATGCCACTTCTTCCTATAGAAGTGGATAATAATCAAGAGTTTGAAGTAAAAGAAGTCTTAGATTCAAGGTGGCATCAAAATAGGTTGAAATGTCTTGTTCATTGATATGGATATGATATTAGTAAATACACATAAAAGCCAGCAAAGAATCTTACAAATATAGCAAAGAAAATTGAACCTTTTTATCGACAACATCCATCAAAACTAAGATAAAGAATATAAAATCTTTGCTATAAAAGAAACAAGATCAAAGAAAGATAGCACTCTATCTTTTATCCTTTTTTGTAGCTTTTGTGTATTTGTGATGCTAAAAAGATGAAAAATCAATAACCAACAGATTCAACTCAAGAGCTTTTATTTGTTGATTTATTAGACGAGACATTGCAATTGTCTCAACCTTCAATACAACGTAATCAAGAAGAAGATTCTCAAGAATGACATATCTTTTTTTGAATAAATGGTAAGATACAATGTATTCGGTATCACGACCTTGGAAGAGAGTCCCAATATTTGATGATTTTATTAGAAGTATGAACAATTCTTGATGGTGTTTCAAATGTTTTATTTAAAGGAAGTTATGAAGGCTTCAATAATGATCAAATAATAGGGTGGTCTTCTTGTCCTAATATGGAACACTATTGAAGGTGAATGGACCTATCAACCATCTTCAAAGAGAACAAAGATCAAAGTATGTGGCAAATATAATTCGTCGTATCTTGGATTTCCATAACATATGAAGACCGCTTCTTGTAGAACTTATCTTTAGAAGAGATGAGAATGTCATGTATATACATAGGTACTCTAATAAATACGTATATGATTAGATAGAAGTAGGTAAAAGTAGATAAAAATAAATTAATTTCATAATACCTTCTAAAGAAGCTTTTAAGAAGCATCATAGATATTATTTTGACTTTACATGTATTTATAGTAAGTTTATACATTAGAAACATAGTCAATAAGTTAATCACATATTGGTAGCTTATAAAATAAGTTAATTATGTGGTGTACTTATAAAAAATTTACTTTACAAGTTAAGTTATGTATCTTGCAAAGTCAACATATTTTGGAGGTCCTATAAGACATTACCACGTAACTCCTAATGAAGAATATATATGGAAGCAAAAGTGAAGCCTTCTTCACTCTTGTCAATGCTTTTCTAATCCTTAGTCTTGTTTCAAGACTTTCTAATGTCCTTGTTTTTAGCAATAGCCATTCTAGTTGAATATTATATCATCTTTAAGTGACTTTCTAGTTCTTTTCAGTGTCACAAGAGTATATTAAAGATTTCTTTTTTTGAGATTCATGTCCTTCATACATTCATGCCTTCAAAAAAGGATGTTTTTGGCAATTGGACAAAAAAGTGGATGTCTAGAGATTATTCTTTAATTAATTATAAGACTAAATTTGATCAATATTCAATCCCAATAAAATATATATATATATATATATATATATATATATATATATATACAATAAGATTCTTTCAAGTATTCAATACTTAGGATTTAATATTTGATTATTACCAATTACGATTATTTATTAAAGATTGAGTGAAGACAACATTTTGAAGAGTTAACCAAGATAACAAAGATTATTTCTTATACTAGAAGTTCCTTCCATTTGGTCTTAAGAATGCACTAGCTAAATTTCAATAGATAATAGACTGACTTTTTTAGAATTGGCAAACTACTCTCAAAGGTTTGTTAAAAACTTTAGTTTCACTATGAAGCTTTTAACTATTCTTAGAAATTAAGATCAACCATGGATTTGGAATTGTGAGCAACAACATACATTCAACACATTAAAACAAAAGTTGAATTTAATTCTAGTGCTTCAATCTCTAGATGCCAATAGACCTTTTCAACTATACATGGATTGGAGTACATTAGCATTAGAAGCAATCTTGATATAAAAAGATGCTGTAGGATGAAAAAATATTATTATATTTTTTTTAGAAGTAATGACAATACAAAATCAAATTATTCATCTTATTAAAGAGAAGATTTGACAACAATTTGGACAATTGCTTACTTCTAATCTTACTTGTAAAATCAATTCTTTATATTCATAATTGACCATTAATCTTTGAAGTGGTTTATCGAATCAAACAAGCTTACTAGCAAGCTTGCAAGATGGACTTTATTGCTTCAAGAATACAACTTTTAGGTTGTGCATTGAGTGAGCATTATCAATTTGAATGTTGATGGACTTTCTTATAATCCATGTCCTTCAAAAGAAGACTTAATTAGAACTTGGATGCAATTCTTAGATGGCATGTAGCCATATACTTGAATTTAATGTTAAATTCTACAACCACAATTCTTAATTAGAATTTAGATATAAAAAAATAAAAAAATAAAAAAATAAAAAATAAAAAAAATGGATAAGAATTAAGTAATTAATATTGTGTAGAAAAATCTTACAATCTTATACAAGCTTCAATAAGGAATATTTCCTTCTATTATCTATATTATGGAAAGCGATAGGATTAGTCACTAAATAACAAAATTTTATTGAAAAAACAACTTGCTATTTTATATGTGGCCTGATGGAATTAGGCACATAGTTGGAATACTAGATCAAAGAACCTCCCTAATACAATAAATACATGAAGAACTTTGACATTTTGAGGTGAGTAGAACACATTCTATGATGCATAATTAATATTGATAGAGTGATATGTATCAATAAATGGCTACATATGTTTTTTGATGTGAAGTTTGTGATCAAGTTAGATCAAGTTTTAATACCTTGTCATTTCAATTGAAGTCATTACCTATCATGGATTTGTATTATTGTTAGTCTTTAGACTTTGTTGGACTATTTATTGTTACTTCATATGGAGTTAAATATGTAATGGTGATGGTAGAGTATTTTAGTAAGTGGATTGAACTTGCGGCTTTATCACAAAACTCTTCAAAATTAGCAACTATGGCTTTTTTTGATTGAATACTAGTACGTTTTGGAGCATCTATTGAAGTCTTAACGGATCAAGGAAGAAAGTTTCTTAAAATGTTTGAAGCTTTATATACTAAAGCTATGATAGATCATTGTACCATGTCTGGAAAGCATCTTGAGGCAAATGGCCTAATTGAGAGAATTCTTTAGACTATCAAACATGATTTATGAAAGCATGGATTACTTTATGGCAACCATCATGATTGGAACTTGATATTGCCATGGATTGCAATGAGTTATCACTTCAATAGACTTAGATGATTCCAATGTTTAGACTCAATGTTTATATGATCAAGTAAAGTACTTTAAACAAGGCATGCCTATGGCTATGGAGAACTTATTTATTGCTCAACATTGTGATACTTTACAATATACTTATATTCAAAATAAAGCTTATCAACCTCAGTTGTAAAAATTCTCCAAAAGAGATTATGTGTATTTGCAATGTGAAATGCCTACAATACTTGATATTAAGACAAGGCACATAATTTTACTTATAAAAGATGTATTGTTTTGTGGTATTTTATTATTAGAAGGCAAGGATGGAGAAGAATGTGAAGAGCATTCAAAGAATTGTGATCCTTGACATCTTCCTATTGATGACTCTATGTATCTTGGATTGATAGTTGTACCAATTGGTCTTCCTTGTTTTGTATGTGGTGGGAAAAAAAAGAGCTATTACCATGCTTGTGTATCATCAATGTTAATATAGGTAGCATATGGCATATTTGACACTACTTCTTTCAACTCTCCTTTCACGAAATTGGATTTGTTCTTATTGTAAAAAGTCTTCTAATCATGTCTTATTTATTGATAAGGATTGAAGATTTCTTCTATTTTGTTTGTCACACACTTCAATGGTCTAGCTACTACAATATTAGTTCAACAATAATATCATTGTGGCATTCATCTTCAATGATATGTATTTTGTAGTCCTAGTTGACTGGAGGAGCTCCTAATCAACTAAGGAGGCACTTGAGAATGTATTGGATGTGCATTTGTATTTGATTTAAATTGCATACTTTGTGATTGGTTTATAGCACTCAATGTGTTATGTGTAATGATTTTTGTTTATACAACAATCATGTTTGTACAAATGTATTGTGTTTATACAAAAATTCACCATGATTAATCCCACTCAAACTCAATCATATTTATTGTGACATGTTGTACCATGTCAATATTATTTCTAATTTAATACTACCATGTTTGTATAATGTACTTTTGGTATAAATTGATAATGATGGATTTAAAATAACAAAGGATGGGATTGATTTGATACTTTCGTAGATAGATATATATATATATATATATATAAAGATTATATGTATATATATATAACCAATACAATTCAACAATATAAATGATAAAATATAATTCAATTTGAGAGATATGGACCACAAACCACAATGTAGTCTGACTTTTTCAAAAATATTAAATATTTAGACAAATACAACTTCCTTAGAATTCATTTCTTTGTAACATTTAATAACTCTATGTTTGTCATTATTTGCTTTAAAAAGATGTAATGATTACTTTCAGCAATATGTTGTCTACCATCCAACTGTGCACATAGCATATGTTTTCTATGACTACGTATTGTGTATTTAACCCTATCCATCCCTCAATGATTTTAGCTGTAAGTGCCAACTTCACATTTCACGGCAGTTGCATTTTGACCTTGCCCACCCATACATGAAGGAAGACTGTATTGAACAGAATAATAGCTTTCTACTGAAAGCAATACACTTGTGGTCATAAGATATAAATAGCCAGAATTTGGTATCAACTTTTAGATAGCCAATGCAACTTCAACTTATTTCTTGCCTCTAGATTTCGGAAGAAAAAAACTTGGGCGCAAAAAATGATTGCACTTTACGGGACCGTGGTGCAACCCTTCTTTGAAAATGTGTTAAGCATGAGATAGGGCTCTGCAAGCCGACAAAAACTTTAATTAATTTCAGAACAAGTCGCTCCGACAAGAAAGCAAAAGAATCGGTTCAAATGAAGACCTATGCGTGCCAGTGTATGCAGCAGTTGTAACCTCTCATGCCGTCTATGACAAACGTTTATTTCGAATATCGTGCCATCAACCCACACACTAAATTGGTAGTGCTTTATTCTGTCTCACAATCAAGAATCCCAGTTTCATTACAAGAGTTACCGAGAAATTGGGACAAATGGAAAATAAATCATTTGCACTAATTTAGCTGGTAAATCTGCACTAGAAAGGTAGCCGGCTCACCTAAAAAGTCATAACAATACCATCATGAATTCGTGACTTCTGATTCTGGGCTACACATTCTGATATCCACATCAAATTCCTGGTCTCCTGCTCGCGTAGTCTCATATAGGCAAAAAACACCGCGTAGTGAAACTGCGACGTAAGAATCCAAAGAACGGATAAAATCGTCAGACACCAGCAAAAAGCCTACCAGAGGATGACAAATTCAAGTGCAACAAAATAAACATTATAAGTAACCAAAATAATTTCCGCAAAAACTGAAGCAATAACACAATTCAACATAAATTTGATGCACAATATCCACAAGTGATTTGTAATAAGCCAAGCTATAACAAAAAGCAAAACCAGGGCAACAACTACAAACCTGTTGTTCAAAAGACAAGATTAGCCTCTTGACTTCCTCTTCATAGAATGCCTTGTCCAGCATTTGACTTTCGCCAAAAGACAGCTTCGAAAATATGGCCTGGTATGGAGGGTACTTTTCCATAGCTCCTCGAACCTGATCAAAAGAACAACACGTACCCATAATTATACCACATACAGTGCAAGGTCTTCTGAAATTCCCAAACATCAGCATAAGACGAATTTTTTCACATAGGGCACTGACATGAAAGGGTTGCACACCAGAAATAATACTACTAAATACTTTGAACTCATACAGTCAATGAAAACAGTTTCCAAAACAATTAAAAATTAAAAATTAACAAAGTAGAACATTTAATCAACGCATATTTCAAGAACTAAGTACTTACGGCATCAAAATCATCACATGCCGCCAGCTCTTCATGCCCATATGGGTACCTGTGAACCGAACAACAGCTCCCTTTATACGAAGTCTTCCGATACATCAATAATTGATTAACTAATTCAATTGACCACATTTTAAATTTTTTATATCTAACAATCCTGGAAAAAAGGGAGAGATTATGAGGTCTTGATGGAAAACGTACAAGATACCGAACTTAGAGTACAGCTTTCGTCGATCATCACGTGTCAACTCTGTTCCAATACTGCAAATACCCGCACAATCTTTAAAATTAGCTGACAAGGTCTAAGAATTTAGAACCTTTAGTCTGAATAACCAAAGGATGGAGAATGTGCGACTAGATAGGAGACTTTGACAAGATAACAATGATATTCCGCCAATTGGCAACAAATGATGATCACATAGAAACAATTCCATTTTCATGCTTGCCTATTGATGGTGATATTCACAGCACGGCGGTCGGCCTCAAAGGCGAGCAGGTCGCACATAATCGTAGAAGTTGCACCTCCAAGTTTCTGCTCCCCACAACCACCAGAATAAACTTAGGTCTTGATTCAGACAGCAGACTGATACAAGACATCTGATGGCATGGCATAACTGGCTTTCAAATCTTCGGTAAATAAAAAAATGATTGTAAAAAGTATTAATCTTTCAAACATTAATAAGCTATCTTCGATGATGTAAAAGAATACAACACCTCATCTTACCTGACAGAACCTGTAAAAGTCCTCCAGGTATGCTTTGTACAGGGTGTTCCGCATGATTTCTATGTTCATGTCATCAAGATCCTGGAGGAAAACATATATATATATATATATATATATATATATATATATATATTTAAGTCAAAACTGTACGCCACTTGCTCAAGCTGAGTTTAAAAAGCATGACTCCATTCAACCAGAACTTCCATAGTCAACTCATGTCTTAGGAAATCATTAGAATCATCCAATGCATCGGCACTAATAATCCTTAAAGTTGAGAAGACAACTTTCTCAGTAGCTGCTTCTCCTCCAAAGGAATTAGAAAAAAGACTTCGGCAGGACTCAACGAAGACTAAGCTACAAGAACCAACTTACTTCGGAAGTAATGCACTCTGAGAAATAAGGGGCCAAGGGAGTATCAACAAGCACAAGGCGATACAACTCCCGCATGTTCTGAGCAACTGCTAAAGATGCAATGCTGCATCACAACATTGAATATGTCAGTGTAAATAAAATACTCACACTCCCTGCTTACGTAACTGGTTACCTAGAAACCATGAAACAAAAAGTAGACTAATATGACTGTTTTGCCTCGAGATAACTGCTACTGCATACTGCTAAACCAAGTAATTCCCAGAATGCAAGCCATAAGAGATCTATCTCTGCCTTCGAGCACTACCAATTAGATAACCGTCTTGTAAACATATTAAAAACTTCAAGAATTGTATACAAGAAAAAAGCAGGGCAAAGTGGACTTGACTCGGACACACCTGTCAAACATGCCTAGAGGATGGCATTTTTCAAGAAGCTCGTGAACATCTCTCTCGTGCAACGTGCCTGTGACTATGAGCACTACGTTGTCAATCATATGTCCATACCTGCAACAAATATTCAAGCGTAAGCTGCATGAGTTGGTGTGCCTGGCACATGACTTTGAATGAAAGAAAACTCATTAATAATATAATACTGTCCGAAAACGATTGAAGGTCCTGAGGAAGATTGATATCAAATTTCACTTTACTCTTGATTAATTGCCAAGTGCCAGCAAACTTGAAAAACTGAACATCCTGCAAAGATTGTGATGGAGAATGTATTATCACTCACGTGATGTACTCAAGAAAGGTTGACAGCGGTTCAGTTGCTTGCGTCAACATGTGATTGTACTCATCCACCAACTTCTGCGTGCATTTTTCCACAATTGTTGCAGTATGAAGGGGTGATGGCTCTGAAAAATTTGAAAGTGGAACGTAAGATTAAAAAAATCTAAAGAATCTTTGCCCAGCCATAAATCCCCTTCCAACCACACCTAAACCCTCGGGCAAACAAAAAGTTCAAATTCCTTCTATTTTATCGAAGGTTATGATTCGTGATAAATGACGATTCTGAATTTACAATAGTATTTCCAAACAAACGAGTATATTGAAACTCTCTGCTTACAATCCCTCATGTCAGACATCGAAGTCGGTAACAATGAACTGCATTTAAAGCCAACGTGGCCCAGAGTTCCCACAGCCAGAACTGCAAAGAAGAGTGGACAAACTACCATTTGCCAAATAAGGCCCATAATCAGTGGCTCCAAGATGCATTTTGATGTCGTCCAGAGTTTCACATTGACATAAATTGTTGTAATCCGCAGACGTGAGCAGCCCAGATCTGTACCCTCGCACTATGGCCTCCAGGTAGCCGCCATCCACGTTGAAATTCAACGCCTCAAACCCGTACATCGACATTGTGTTGTGCCTCGCAAATCACAACCTCCGTGCTCTAATCCGATCAATACACAAAACATTAAAATTAGTGCCATCTCTTCACAAACTCACTAATCCAAAATCTAAAAAATCCTTAACCCTCGATAACTCTGCATCACTTTCAATCAAAACCCTAGACACCGCTCTTTCACATTTCCATCACCCCCACACAAAGCCGAAATCAGTTCAAGATCACTCAAACCTATCAAATACATCCAAATCCTACCAGAATTTCTTCGATCTATTCAAAATTCTCCTCCAAAAAACCTGGTCGAGATCTCATACCCCCCGCCCTCTAATATCTTCCTCGTCGTATCAACTAAAAACGGTCATAAACTCCCTCGTTTCAAATCACGAGAAGCGCGAGAACGAGAGGAAATACGAAACGTACCGATTGACACCGACTGAGAGAAGCGTCGCCGATGATCCGAGCAGGAGGACTCGAGACTGGCGCCCGAAGGGAGCTTCGGAGGTTTGGCTAGTCGGTGCTTGGACTGCACGTAGCCGTGCTCGGTGTTCACGAGTGAAGAGCGGGGCGTAGCAGCAGCAAAGGCGTGTATCGTATAATCGCCCGCCACCACATCGACGGACGATCGCCTCAAGCTGAGGCGGATATTGATGAACTGGTTAATAACGACAACGACGAGGGTGTGGGAGGACACACGGGTATCATCTCTCGATTCCCGGGCATAGTCTCTCAGTTCCCGGGTATATCACTCCATTCCCGGATATACTCATTGCTTCCTGGGTGTCATCTCTCGCTTCCCGGGTATTACGTGGTTTTCGTGCCTGGTGAGAATCTTGGATTAATCCGAGGACCAAAGTTTGATTAGTAGGTGTTCAAATACAAACCATCCACAAATACATATTTTCAGTACTCTAGAGTTTTGTAGCTGTAACTGATATACGGCAAAGGAAATTTTGGAACTTTGAATTGTGAATAGAAGCCAGAAACGACCCATTCAATTTAAACTGAGTGTCATCGAATTTAATGCGAATTGGATGAATATGTTGATGGGTGATGGATGATGGATGATATATTATCACAGAAAGGATTTTAAATAGTTTTTGTTTGGATACTAATGATAATAATGTTAGTCACGGGAAAATTAGAAGAAGTGATTAAAAACGACTTAGTGAAAGTAAGAATGTAAGGAAGAATTGTCATCAAACAAAATAAAACAAGGTCGTACATTCATGTTTTGTAAATTTTATTGTAAAATTGTATGATTGTAATGTTTTCTTTTGAAAGACATCCAAAATCTTACTGATATTGTCTTTTGTTCATTGTTTTCTGAGCATAGACCTAAACGTACATAAGTGATACAATATTTAACTATTACATCGTAAATTTTTCGTTTTTTATCGACTGCTTCAATATGTCATAATATAAACCCAATCAATTAATGTTGAATTTACTAAATTAACAAGAATCAAAACCAAGTTATTCAATTTTTTGAAATAAACAAAAGGTGTCCATATGAATCATTTGTTGAAAGATTGTGCAAGTATATCTTATTATTCCGTAAATTTGTATAGTTGCCAAAACATCACAGTTAACACTAGAATGAAATTAATCTGATCTAAAAGATGTGAAACAACAAATGTAAATTGAAAAAAAAATAAAAAATAAAAATCACCTATCGTAAAATCACGATTTTATTTGCGTTCATCCAAATGCTAAACGGCCACCTGGAGAAAAAATTAAAAAAATTAAAAAAATGTATCAAATAAGAAATAGAAGCAAAAAGAATAGCTGTGTTCAAAGTGTAAAACTTTGAGAATATCAATCACATTCAGAATCTTACAAAATCGTAGATAGACATTATACCACTAATGTGCAAATTAACTACTTGTCATCAAACAGTTGATGGATTAGTAAGAAGCAGACGGATCAGCAAGAGCATGGGTACTATCGAGGGGCTCCAGTGTGAATGGGGACGAGAGGTCCCTTCTCCCCGATTAGGGTTTTGTTTAAAGCGAGCGGCGGGCAACCATGATCCTTCTCTTTTGCTTGCTTGCTAGCTTGCTTGCGTTGAGCTGCTCGACACTTCCTCTATCCGGCAACCATGACGACCCGGCTGAAGAAGAACCGCAAGAAGAGAGGCCATGTCAGTGCCGGGCATGGACGTGTTGGCAAGCACCGCAAGCATCCTGGAGGTCGCGGTAACGCTGGTGGTTTGCACCACCACCGCATCCTCTTCGACAAGTACCATCCAGGGTACTTCGGCAAGGTCGGTATGCGGTACTTCCACAAGACTATGAACAAGTTCCACTGCCCAATTGTCAACGTGGACAAGCTCTGGTCGCTTGTGCCTGAGGCTGTGAAGGAGAAGACCGATGGGGACAAGTGTGCCCCTCTCTTGGACGTCACACAACACGGCTTCTTCAAGGTGTCACTGCAATGCCAATACCGAACCTCGGTGTGATTTGTTCGTGCAAGTAGCTGGTCGCGGTGTTTACTCTTGCGTTTTTGTTCTCTGTTGTGGTGGGTTTGGCGGGTTGCACTGGCGGAGTGTCCCCGATCTAATCTGTGGTTGTCTTGAATGGGTAACTTTGTTCTTTTCAATCGGTTCCTCTATACGTTTTATTTCTGGTGAGGTAGTTTTTTTTTTTTTTTTTTTTTTTTTTAATGTTATGTTGATGTCTCTGTGTATACTTGGATGACTTAATAATTTTGCTTATTTCTCAAAACTGTTCTCTAGAAAATAATCTAATTACCTCCGATTATTCATTTGGTACTTGTCTCACAATGTCTAATTTCGAATCATCAGACACTTCAAGTTTTTCCTAATTTAAGTTATGTTGCGCGTCTGTTTCAGGTGCTTGGAAAGGGTGATCTTCCCACTCAACCCATGGTGGTCAAGGCTAAATTCTTCTCTAAGCTCGCTGAGAAGAAGATCAAGGAGGCCGGAGGAGCTGTTATCTTGACTGCCTAAGTTCAAGTCAACGTTCGACAACCTATGCACCTGTGTGTTGTAGTATGATTTTGAAACGTTCTCATCATGGTTTTGTAGGTGTTTGTCATACCCTTGTCATGGAACTTGTTTGTACTAACATATCAGAAATGCAAAGTTCTTTTCTGTTCATACCTATATTCAATGTCGAATCGTTATCACACTGATCTCGTTGTGGACTAAATCACCCGTCATCGTCTCATGTGTTGACTTTCTTCTTCACCTGGGTTACACAGAATCAAGAACCGTATGTTTAATATAGACAAATGTTTGTAGGCTGGTCTTCGACATAACCTATTTGTAAGTCGATACTAATTTGATGTGCTTGAGTTATATTCCAGGCTTTAAATACTTATGTACGGCTTCTACCCTTTTCAGGTTGTGTTGAGGTTGTAAAATCCCCTAAAAAGTTTTGTTTTGATTACTCTGGTTGGGATCAGCGAAAGTTAAGGCTGTCCATGAGTCATGATGCAAGTGACTTGATGTTTGCTTTCTCTTCTGTGCCATTTAGAACAGGTTTGTAATGCGTTTGATCAACAGCCATGTATTCTTTAATTCGGAGTTGGTCAACCCAGCAATCTTACTCCCCGAAATGTGCCTGGTAATTAGAGCACATCGAGCGATTAGGTTGTACCGAATTCTTACCAGTTGGGAAATAGACTAGGATAAGTTTGTTTGGTGCTAAAGATATGCAACGAAGTCCAGTATACGGAAGTGGCATCATCCTCACGTGATTACCACAATCGCATCGTTCTGGATGTCTGCATGTGATGGTTTTCTTCTCATTCGCGGAATATTTGGGTGCCGAACAATTTTAGAATTTGACTTCAGATGCAGGGAATGGTTGAGTTATCTCTAAGATAAGGCTGGTCCTTCTCAGGCATGACGTTGAATTTGTTCAGTAGCACAGATAACTTGGGAATTCGAGTGCTTTTTTGTGCCCGAAGCTTTTCGTGGAACGTTTTACAGATGCTTGAGGCGTACAAATCTGCACTGAATTACAAATTTTGTTGCAGCCCAGTCAGCCTAGTGGAATCTCAACTGTCATGACGATGAACTCAATGCACCAAATCATGTAGCTAACACTGAATTCACATGTGGTTTGAGTGTCAACGATGTCCTAACGTGATCACAACTAGTTTTATGACACGGATTCTCCGATATATAGTGCATGAAAACCCGTGTGTGAAACAACGCTTGGCCATGAGGTTGAATGCACATCTACTCCAGTCCATTTGTGAAGTACTTGGGTTGGAAGTATGAAAGGGATCCATTCTGAATGACCGGAAATATTGATTCTACGTCCGGTTCTTAACATCACTTAGCAACTTGGTTCCTGCTGCAAGCCAGAGACTGGTCTTGACACAGTTCTCATTTGTCAACCGGGTCTATGGCGAAAATCACTTGGTATCCATCATACATTTTAAACAATTAATTCCAAAATTGCTATTTTTACGGTGAACTCAAATCAGTCTACAACTGGATTTCAAACTCGGGAAATGCCCTGACGATTCGATATTGCTGCACTGACTATTGGTCACGTTACAAAATTAGGAGCTACAGTTGAAAAAGCCCTAGTTAATCCACTACTTGCAACATTCCTCCCTGAGAATAACCTTTCAATGAAAAGTTAAGTTCCATTATTATGTGCTGGCGGAGCTCAACAAACTTTGCTTGCATCAGGTTCTCGACATGCAAATTACTTGAGGATTGGATTCTTTCTTTCTTCTAACCTGGTCTATCCACTTTTCTCCGGGTGCTAACTCAGAATCTTCATCATTCAGAACCAGTTTCCCGATTCTTTTACTTATTCGTCTTCTGCAACTACAATTACAAGCATCCCACCCCTTTCTGTCCCAGCTGAGTGGATTTCAAGGTATTCAGAAATTATCCAAAGAAACCATCACCAGGAGCTGTCACCGAACCCTTTTCCTCATGCTAACATGTCAGCTTGCGTTTAAGGGATCAGTGTCGTTTATTATATCTCTTATCTAGAAGGTGACGAAATATGTAGTTGTCACAAGTAGGCCCAATGGTGACGGTGGAAAGTGGATGGAAGCGTGTTGCACTATCAATGAAATCTTTGACTAGGTGTAGCTTGAAAGTTGAGACGGCATACTAATTGAGGGATTGGACAATAAGAATTATGGCATAAAGAAAAGTCGACGATCATTCAATGTGCCAAGAGCATCTAAAAGTAATCCCAAGAGTCTTTACAAGATCGACGGGTTATTTTTCGACTAAGATACATGGAAAAAGTTGTTCCACATTTGGCTCCAGTGCAAAGTACCGTTGTGAGATCTGCAACTATGATTGAGAAGTGAAGGCTGCCTTACGTCACATACAATTTGCGAGGTAAGTCGGGATTTTAAAATAGCCCCACAAAAGTTTTCTAATGGAATGAAGAAGGTTTTTCCTTTTTACGTTTAGCTGCCATCAGTGGTAGATACATACTAACTACAGCTCGGGAGCAACAAAACAAATGGAGATGCAACTAAATACCATGGCCAATACTAAGATATTCAAAGAATCGCAACAGGACAAACCAGAAGGTAGGGGAATTCTCAGTACAATCAGACACATGAGGCACTGTTGGCCCACAAATGAAGTGGATATTTTACACCATATATACAAAAACTGAGATGAAGAGACCTGAGGCATCATCTTGCCACAACCCTCATACCACACTACTATTTTTACATTTTCAGTTGGTTCTTGAAAGCCTACAATTTGATAATCCAGCATGTTTGCCTCCATCCAGCTTATTCAACTTTGAATTACTTCACATACCTTCCCAAATTCTTAGCAATAGAGCATTCTCTTCTTCCCAGTTACTCAAACCACATCAGAATTCCTTGATATTCCCGACACGCCATTTTGAGCCTAGAAAGGGAGCTGGCCGGATTCATTTTAGCCTTGTAGCTACCAATAACCCTTGCATAATGTCCAGTGCAAATATCCGACTCCCGCAGCCACGAAAAATCTTCCTCAATTTCAACAGAGATTGCTGTCAGGTCTCTACGAGTCCTACCGGTCAGTCAGGACCAGAATTTCCCCGGAACACTTCTCAACATAGGCCTCTTTGAGAAACTTCAAAAGAGGCGTCTCGCGTTGTCACATACTGCAAGGCAGAGGATCACTTGCATATGTCCAAACCATCATTCTTCACATCCAAAAAGACTGCTGACTCCAAATGCGAAAATGAAAGAAGCAAACTTCAGCCAAGGACATGGATTATACCAGGTCACTGGGCGATTCGAGCATGGTCCACCACTTAACAGGCCAGAGTGGAAGCGCATACCCTAATCTAGCAATCTGATCCAAAAAAATTCACTTGTTACTCAAAACCTGGACATCTTCGTAAAACACCAGCGGGGTTTTCATGTCAGAGAAACCTCCAAGGACATCAATTCCGCAGAGGCACACGTCAAACAGGCAGTGGTTGATGGATTTGTAATCAGATTCTACCCTAGAAAAATTTGCAAAAAAGAAAAAGAAAAAAACATGCTATGATCTTGTGAAACTCACCTTCACAAAAAGGAAACATTGAGCCCTCCAACACATCATCCCCATGCTCTGCTTTCTCATTCTGCTCGCTCTTACTCTGAGTACCCTCTACATCCTCACTTTCGGCATCCTCGGCCATACCACTAATGCCTCCATGAGCAGGACTTTCATTCAAGGGACTATCACTTGCAACACCGCTGCTTCCATGATTCCTACGGTGATCAATGAGGGACGCATCTTCAAATTCTGGGTTGGAGCCGGACGTAGGAGTTGGTACATGTGCAGATGGGTTGTCGTGTTTATAGGATCCATCCGCTGTAACCTGATCAGTTGGTATCATGTCCCAGCAGTTTGTCCCATTTGCCAAAACCCCGGAACGAATATGCTGCATACCACCATTTTCTTGCAAAACCATATCTTTGAATTGGGAGTTTGCGATGGCTACAGGATCTTCAATCACTGGAGTAGAGCCAAGAAGAGCGTTGGGTTGAACACGCTGAACATTGTCAACGTCTGATGGTCCATCGCCGATAGATGCACCATCAATATTTTCATGATTGGAAATCCCATCTCTGCCAGCAGATACGCCAGGCTTGATGTAATCTGTATACACACATAACTCTCTCTGTTCTGCCCTTAGAATGTTGATGGGGGACCCTGTTACCATCGTTGTAACTGGTTCTGAAGTGACCGCTGTCGGTGCAAAACTGTCCTGATATACCTCGGGAACGACAGTTCTGGACCGAAACGAATGGCCAAGAGACAATTCAGATCTGCCCGACACCGGTGACTCTAACGATTGATGGATTTGATGAAAATACGGAGGGGAACCAAATGATGAAGGAGGGGTGTCTGCCGCTATCACAACGGACAAATCTGCATCCACAAATACATTAATTTTTTTAGCATAAACGAAATTCCAATAGACCTGTAAGCAATATCCACGAACTTCAATTACGTTGTAAGAGGCATCTGTAAATACTTTGCATCAAGGAGAAAATGAATGGACCAACACTATCTCTACTGCTCAGACCACTGAGATGCAAGAGGGCCGATTCGGCCACCACGATACAATATCTCCACTCAAAAACGTTATTTTAATACTCAGCAAGTCTTCCGGCTTGCCATTAACTGGAATTTCATTGCCCTTACCACTTACTAACACGAATTATGAAAATGAATTCAAAAGAGCGCTCATAACATGTAAAGGTGTAGGGTCGAATATAATCTTAAAGAACGAACCTTGGTACCCGCGGTGGTAATCGTTCATACCACCGGCACTGGTAGCATATGGAGCACCCTCTGAACCAAAACTACTGCTACTATTGGTGCGCTGGATGGGCATGCCTCTCAAACTTCCAGCTATGAACCCATCTTGCAAGCCCTCATTTCCAAGAAGCTGATCATGGGCGTTAGATATTCCAGGCAAAGCATCTGTTACCATGGTGGCCCTACACGGAAAGGAATTGAAAGACACACAAACAAACGTCAAACTTCAGTCACACGAACAAATGTGAAAGATGGATGAGGAATATAAGCTTACACGTTTCAACAGTGAAAGTGTACGGAAAGGAAGGTATCTCACCGAGCACCGTGTACTTTCGTAAAGTTCTGGAGTCTTTCAATTACAGGAACAAGATCTTTCCTTCGCACTTCAACAATACGAGTAGGAATTCTTTCGATTTCAATCTCTTCCACCCCATCTAAAGAAGGGTACTTGCCAGCTTCAAGCTCCTTCGATGTCCCCGGAAGCATCACATGAAATTGAATCTAGAAAGGAGCAAAACTCTAGTAAAAATCTAGTTTGTGAAGTAAAATGCATTGAAAAAGTGAAGACCTAGGTGTCTCTCATCACGAAATCGGAGATCCGAAAACGCCAGGTCGTAAACTGAACTGTACAAGTCAAAACAGTAATGTACATTCAAGCAAACAGTCAAAACAAGATACAAAAGAATTTTAAGTTTCAAAAAGATTCACACGTGATAAAAGAACGCAGGGGAAAACCAATGCCAGTTTAATAAGTGATATATTGAGTACCTTCGACTTTGCCCAGATGGGCACAGACCTGGATTGATGCATCTGCACTTCAGCATTAGACATAAACCAGCGCTGCAACTCTTCAGTTCTCATAGCTTCCTTGGATACAGACCCTACAGAAATCCCGGAGTTTCCAGAACGCACTCCAGCTTCTTCCTGATTTGCATCCTGGGCCCCAACTATCTCTTCCCGTTCTACCCAGTTAGGCCGACGAGCAACATCCCAACGCTCTACTGGTTCGACAATTGCCTTCAACTCCTGAGGTAGGCCAGGGCTTCCCGGTGAGCCTATCCCGACCATTTGCGGCAAGCCATTACTGTAAACACCGTCACCTCCTACAGCAGGACGCAGCAAGTAACGAAGAAGATGCCCTGTCGGGCAAAAAATCCAAAGTTGATCTCTCAACGTCCCAGTTCCTATGTCCGATTCCACACCTACTCTACCACCGTCATGAAAAACAGCAGCCACAGCACCAGCAAGAACATTGGGTCGGCCCGCAGCTGTCACCGCAGCACTTGTTACAGTACCCCGCCACCCACCATTCCCATTCTTTATTCTACCTACTACGTTGAGGGTTATGGCAGGAGGAGGGGAATACGATGCTTGCTGATTCAGGCTCACGGGTCCTGTTGTAGACCACCAGGGGAATACTGGGGCCGGTGTTATAGTGGGCCCGATTAGCCCATCAATAGGTAATGTTGCGTGCGTCTGCGGCCCTACTATTCCACCAAATGGAGATATAGCAAACAAATGGTTTGTTCCCCTTGAAGAGCTGACAGCGATCCAATGGCTGTCGCTACTAAAAGTTATGTCCTGAATAACCTGTACAGTAACCAAAATGACCATCAGGCTACATACGAATACTACTTGATCCAAGAATACATAGTCGAACAAAACATAACCGTATGCAACACTTACCGCATTAGTCACTCCACGAGAGAGTTTGTATAGATGCACAAAACTTGTACTGGTATCCCCACCGGTCCCATTACCCCCAGCAATTGAGGATGGAGGTGTGAGGCGGAACACATTTAGGTTATGGCCATATACAGAAGCAGTGACCAGTAAAGTGCCGCTCGGATCAAAAGCAAGTGCTGAAAGAGGACTTGAGTGTGCCCTAAACTGGGCCACTACATTTTTGCTCACAATATCTCGGATAATCACCTGTTCATAATCAGAGGAGACACTCAGATTTCGTTACAGAAAGTTCCCTAACTAAAGCACAGACACTTGCACTTATGACGACTATAGTATCAAAAAGAGTAAGGAACTAATTCGGCCGAGGATAACAACAGATAATAGCAGACCATTCATGTAGTTGAAAAAAGAAAAGAAAAAAAAAAAGGAAAAACAGAAAAAAAGAAAAGAAAACAGCTGCTTCTTGTGCTCTTAGCATATCAGAAGCACGATGACAGGTAACATTAAGAACTAAATCCTGGCCTAAAGGTCCAAGATAAACTAAAAATTACCGTGCCAGAGAACTCTGGTTCGAGGGCAGGACCTCCTTGCCAAGGACTCTGGTTATTAGTACCATTCTTCCAACTGGGACTACTAAGCCTAGGAGAAGCGCCGCCACCATCCGGCATAAGCTCTGAGCAGTATCTTGAAATTGTCTTGTAACCCATGTCCCCCAAAGTCACCACTCCTGCTACGATATGTTTGCTGGACTCCTTTGCATAATGTGCTACAAGGCTGCCGTTAGCTGGAGAAGTTGATGGGCTCACTCCTGGAGATGGGGTCAAGTGCTGAGGGGACACACGCCCAGAAGTCGCAAATAGAGGCTGGTTGGCTGCATACGCTAACCACCGAGGACCAACTGCCATTGCACCATATCCGTAATGACTGGATCCAGGAGCTGGTGCTGGGGATGGATAAGTAAGCACACTAAAAACATTTTGAAGTGACCCTGCATCAAAGCAATAAATCTGCAAAATAACGCGGATAGAACTTCTTGGGTCAAACATTTCCATTCAAGTATTGAATCTTCACACGAAGTAATAATCTCACGGGTAGCAAAAGGTGCCCCAATTGTAACGCGTAACACAAAGAACTGGGCGAACGTAACTTGAGCTGTACAAACTTGGTTCCTCTCAAGGTATAGAACTGCTCAAATGGGACAAAGCAAGCCGTAGAACATATGGCAGAGGACAAGTAGAACCTTGGAGACTCAGAGAGTAAGAAATTCAATTACCTGAGTAGCCAAGGCCACTGCAACAACACGAGGGCTACAGCGCACTGCATGAATTCCCGTGCGGAATCTTAAGGAATGCACATACGAATGGTTGCGAAGGGAATAAAATCGAACGACAGTTGGCACGAAGTGAGAGGCTCCAAAATTCAAAGAACCGCCCCCGCCACCGGCACCTGGACTCCCAGAACCTGTTACATCCACAGTAACGACTAACAGCAGAGGCCGAGCTCCCTCGAAATTTACCCCTTCATCCATAGGCTCTTGAAGAATAGGTTTCGGCTGAAGACGCAGGAAAGCGACCGGTCCATCACGACGTGAAACCAATTCATGCACATTACTCGCATCTTGTACATCCCAAACTTGGAATCCATTTGCATACGTCAACAAGAGCACTTGCCGAATCTCACCTGAGCCAAGCTCTAGCTTATCAAAGCTTGACCACAGGACCTGCACATTCAGAAAATGACGACAATTTAAAACAGCACAGAATTTTGAACCAAAAAATAACATAATAAAATATAAAACAGACCAAAGAAACAACTTACCCTCAACCCTCTGTGATACTAAAATTGAATTGCTACTCTGGAAGTCACAGCATGTCGACTGAAAAAACCCTAAAATAACAAATGAGATGAAAAGCAATTCGTAGGCAAGCACCACCAATTGGCATTTCCGCCTCAGACCTTAATCTCCACAAGGTATGTCAACGATACCTGTTCGCGCTGACGATCATCTTCATGGTTGAGTGATCCACTAGAAGCTGCGGAGACAGCAGCCTGGCGAACAGTAGATGCAGCAATGCTGCTCGCATTTGCAGAGACACTGCGAAGATAGTTGGATATGGTGCGGAAGGAGGAAGGGATTGATCTAAATTTGCCCCCGTGGGGACTACGCATTTGATAGTCGGCGTCGTTCCTCATCCCACTCTATGCCTTGATTCGGAGATTTTGTTGGCCCTTCTAAGCGCATGCCCACGCAGCGTTCTTGTGCACCCACAGTCCTGAAAGAAAAGGCGTCAGTACTCAGAGCTTGAGAGGTATGCCAGTATGCCCCGTCCAGACAAATTTTGCAAAGATTTTGTCAGATAGCTAAGCTTTATTTGCTGTTGAATCTGGCCAACATGGGTCACATCACTAATAACTAAAACACACATGATGTGAGTTTATCGGGGCATCAAAAACAAAATAAATCGCTTGCAAAAGCATGCAAAACCACAAAAAAAGGTAAAGCCAGTCTTTCTATTAGAAAACGTTTAAGTTCAAGATTCATGATGATTCATATGGTCAATCGACCTGCAATCCATTGCCTTCATTACTCTCCGAACAAGAAATTACTCCAATTCCTCATTTCCCCGACCCAACCCCAAAATTATTGTGCAAGTGGACAAAACATGAAGTCGCGATACAAGAATTAGAACAAAGATATTTAAAGTAGATCCTGCTTCGGAGCAAATACCTGGCAACGACTGACGAGTTTTGTCAGTCCATTGCCTCCTCAGAAACCTGCGTTAGCCATTATTGCAAACTAAGTTCTGATTCCAATCGCAATGTGCTGATAAGTTGACAACGGACTCTTGATCGATTCGATTATCAACCGAATACGTCAATCGAAATAAGCTTCACATCCTGCACGTGCCAAAAGAGGCAAACTTCAAAAAATATAAATAAATATAAATAAATAAATAATCGAAAGCAGAAAATAGATTCAGCAAGAAAAACAATTCTTTATCGGTACCCGAATAGAGCGATACAAACTACAATTCGATTCAATTGTAAGCGATGTTCCCAATAATCCGCGTCTCCCAAGTTAGACCACACCACCCTGCCCACACTGGATTGCGAACAGCAAGCACTTCTCTACAAGAAATACCAAAATTTACGTCGCTGACGCCCTTTCTATACGTGTCAAAGTGCGCATACGTGGGAACAGAAACAAAGCCGTCGAAGGATACAAAAAGACCCGTTCAGCGTACGTCCAGGTACACCTACGCCTTTCAACACAACATCAAGGCGTGCAAGCAAATGAACTCTCACGCCGGGACGGCATGCTCACGCCTACCCATTCACGCTTTCCGGAACAAACGTCCGCAGCACACAACACGCTGGCTTGACCAGACCGCCACGTAAGATCAACCACATGAATCCTCTACCCTCAAGACACGCATCGTCACAAACCCGGGCTTCCAGCCAACCTAAATTCCACCCTAACACGTACTGAACCTTCAACCCCGCAGAGAATTTCGTTCAATCGACCGCCTTAAATACCCACACGATGCCCCTGTTTCTCGATGCCAATGGGCTAGGAACACCGCCTCGCCACCTCCTCCTCACCTCGCAAATCAACACCTCATACCTCCCTATCCCCGACTTTCCCCTTCTCCTCTCGCCCCACATCCACAACCCACTGAAACTACGCCTGCTCATACACACCAACCGCTGCGACGCATCACCCACAACCTAATCCATCGTGAAATCAATCTCCCTCGACACCTCTACAGCCCAGGACGAAATGGTTCTCAACACGCGAGCTCCCCACATCTCTCTCCACACGTAATCATGCAACAGACCCCATGAATCGACGGAACCGAGGGAGAGAAGAACCGGGAGAGAATCGTGGTGTGGTTTACCGTGGTCGCGGAATTAGATGGAAAAGAGGTCGATGCGTGCACAAGCAGGGGCCGGAGGAGCATCCGAGTGGCGGCACTTTATACCTTTGATCACCAAACGAGGAGACAACAACAACACAGCTTGCGAGGATGTCGATGGCAAAGGGGCGAGCGGACGAGAAACAAGGAAAGGAAGTAAGGGAAGGGAAGGGAAGGAACAGGAGCACGGGGAGCCACAGCGAGCCTGGTCCACGAGTGGCCGAATACTCCTCCCTCCTCTTACTTTTGGTCTCTTGCTCTTCTTCTTCTTCTTCTTCTTCTTCTCTCTCACTCACTCGCTCGCGCTTGCGACAAGCAATGTCACCTCCACCACCACCACTAGAAAATAAAAACAGAATCCCCGAAGATGGAGCGCAGGGTAAAGAGCCTCCCCTTCCCCCACCCTGTGAAAGCAAAATCCAATAACAACCCACACCAGGATTCATCCTATGGTTTAATGGGTTGGAGGTAGATTCGATGATGCGATGATGCGATGATGCTCCTCCTCGCAGCATCGGGGCATTGGCAGCTCGGCGCACTTGGCCCCACCGCACTGAGTCAGTCCGTCAGTCCGTCAGTGAGTGCGGAATCGTCACCCATCTCCCCTCACTCAACTCTCGCCACTTCCCAATTTAGTGTGGTCGTGCATGGACGAACGAAACAACGAAAGAACGAGTGAACGAAATTGTGTCTGAGGGACGAACAAGGAACGAACGAGCGAGTGAGCGAACGAACAATATATGTATAATTAGATTGTGGATGAATTAAATAGATATGGATGAATGAAATAGGGTGAGTGATTGATGAATGAAATAGGGTGAGTGATTGACGAATGAAATTGTGCGGGACTCGTTATCTTACTGCTCACATTTAGTGTGGGTTATTGAGATTTGGCCTCTTTGTGTGGATTTGGAATTGTATTAAAATTGATGTTCGATGTTGGAAATAATTCGATTTTTTCATAACCGTTCATGGTGGTAGTGATCTCTTCAAGTGTTTTCTAATTTCTGAAAAATCTCCAGGGCAGATAAATTGATGATTATTTAAAATAATGTCCATGTTATCAAAAAATTCAAAAAATCAAAAAGGAAAAATAATTGGGGAAAAACGTATAATTTAATGTGTTGAAACCACATTTATATTGGCATCAACGATTATAAATATATTATATTTTTTGAATAATAATTAGAGTGAGGTGAGCAATATTGAATACATTAAAAACAATTGGCATTCGTAATTTATCTAACAAATTGCAAAGATTGAGGAAAACAAAAGCACAATATATATAATTATTAGTTTATTATACCCTTAACATAAAAGATATATATATATATATATATATATATATATATGTTTGTGTGTCAAAGAGAGAAACTGAAATGATATAATTTGATGAATATTTGATAAAGCAAGGTAATTTATATTTATATACATTGAAATGTGGGTATATACTTATATAATTTTATATAGTGATAAAACTTGCATGAATAAAATATAGTTTGTTCAAAATGAATCCTTTTAATAATTTCAGCATAAACTATATATATATATATATATATATATATATATATGGTAGCAATCTAATACGAATATTACTAGCAAAGCTCATTTTATAATCTCTAAATTGAATGGGTTTGTACATTTTACCTATATATTTAACTTTAAATTGTAAAAATAACATACGTTATTGATTTCTTTTCTACATTTTCAAACAATATAATTGATTAGAAATAGAGTTTATATTGCATGATTTTTAATTCCATTTAAGCTACATTCTTCTAAATGCTTGGAAATGCAATGTTGGAGAATAATCATTTTTGTATAGTAACTATTCGACATTCTGTCATTAAAAATTAATAATAATGTTTTAAATATCATAATTAAGACGTTTTATGTAATTAATGGGATGTTTTGAAAAATGAATCAAAGAATTTTAAAGACCAAATTACTTTATCTTTTGTTTAATTAGAAAGATACAGAATACAATATTTTTAAATATTTATTCTGTACACATATACAGAAATTTGGTTTTGTTATAGACTTTATAAAACATAGAGTATTCAGAATATTTGATTTAAGAAACTAGATATTATACATAATATCATTGTGATTTATAATACTATAATTCCCAAATGTTAAATGACTTTAATAAGTAGAGTGGAAAGAAATGTTCTCCATGATTCATTTACATAAATGGTCATTGCTATTGATACTCTAATAAAAATCATCATGTTTAATATGTATCATGTTTTTAGTTTTTTTTCAATATTCCAAACTATTAATTTCTAAAACTTGAATCTATTCTTACTTCAATAACATAAGTAACATACAAGTAAAAAGTGATTTTTAACTCAAGGTGATAAAGTTGTATTATGATGGTGTGTTGAGGCATTGAAATACTCTTTAAATTTAGTCCAAAAAATCTAAATGTTTCGTTTACAAAATAAATAGCTTATTACGACACTTACAAGCATATTAGTACATTTCTCCAATATTGTACCTAAATAGTAACATACATTGTTGCATTCTATTTTACACTAGAATTATCAGGTCATACTATATTTTATGTACGTACGTACGTCTATATATATACTAAAAATGTTTAACTCATTCAACAACTAATGAAGTAGCATTGCCAGTTATTATTGTACATGATGTGATTTCAGAACATCTTTTACAACAATGTTTGTACTTCACTGAGTTAGTTTAGAAAACGTATTAACATTTTACAATTATGCTACTCAATATGTTTCTTCAAATCTACTATTTGAAATACACAATAACCATGATGATAGAAACTTTATACATATATAAAAAAATAAAAAAAGTATGAAAAGTTGTACTGATTTAATTGTTAAAAATAAAAATAAAAATAAAAAGTTATAATACTTATCAAGAAAGAGGGTTTTTCATACAGGTGTTTTTTCGGATAAATATATTTAGGGTTATTATTTTGTAGATAGAATAAAAAAGTATTCAAAATTGGTTCGATTGTAAGTTTGAATCTTACATTCTTCTCTGCTGCTTGTAATCTAGAATGATTTGAGCTTCTAGAAGTCAACCAAATGAATGCATAATTTAACTTTGAAAGTATAAAGTTATCTATTGTTACATATTTGTAAACACATGTACATTAAACTAGTAAAAAAATCATCATCAATTTTTTTCAGATAATTTTTAATATCAAATGTTAATGTAGTGGTTCTATTTTAAAATGATAAACCATCTTAAAAACAAGAAACAAATTGATGACAGTTACCCTAGAATTCCCCGAGCACTAACATTATATGTCGAATCAATTGTTTGAAAATATTTTTTTGTAAGTTTCGACATACACATTGTGATTGAAACTTTGCAAAAATAACACGACTTTCAATTTTGATTGCATACAGATTAATGCTTTTTGGAAGTTCACGTCTTCACTGGATATGACACATTTAAGATTAAGAACATTGAGGTGATTTCATATTTCAATTACCATGGAAATTTTGAGGATTGTAATAGTCTTGATAAGTTGAACTTTCATAAGTGTTAGTTAAACTTACACATTTTATAAATATTTGTTAATAGTTGAGAAGCAAAAAACATTATGTATCATAAATGCACATTTTGAAATTTTGGTTTTTGGTTTTTGGTTTTTGGTTTTTTTTTTTTTCTTCTCAATCAGTATTTAATTTATGTGCAATAATTGAACATATACATATTAGAAAGGAGATTCCTTTAGTAAGCTAAATTCTTGATAAGTCCTAAAAAAACATTATTTGGCAGTATAAATCATCGTCATAGAGAGACTGTCATTGCAGATATTGTGATAATCTTATATGTTATTGACTAAAAACTTGGATGTATTTTTGTTCATGATTTTTCCTATTATTTCAAATACATTTTGAAAAATGAAATTGAAAAAAATCAAAAATATATATATATATATATATATATATATATATTATGAACATCTCACAAAATTGAGTCATTCATGTATCACTTGGAATTTACTGCAGAAGTTAATAGTCACTCTTTTATCAATTCGAGTGAGTCTAATTAGGGAATTTTAAGGAAAGCCACCAATTTCGTAAACAACAATATATATTCTACTAATAAAGTAGAGATGCCATAATTTAGACTTAATAATGGCAGAAACTTAAAAAATGACAATGCATAATATATATTCTTGAAATTTAAAAAATAGACACGCTCATTGCAATGTTTACTTCAAACCAGATTTTAAAATCAGCAGCTTCAAAACTGTAATGAACAAGTTTCTTCAAGTATCAAAAGATTACTTTCATACTTTAACACCTATTATTAATAAAAGTATACTTTAATACTTTAATATGTTTTTACATAAAGTAATAAAATGTAAAGTTTTGAAGTATTAAACCAAGCATGGAATAATTTTTGATGATTTTATCTTCTTTGGTGCATGATGGTTTCTTTATAGATTGATATGTAGTAAAAATAGCATTTATGTTACAAGCAAAAATATAACATGGATGGGTAATTCTAAAAATATATACATAATTGCAACAAATGGCTTTGGAATCTCATGTGGATGGCTACCCAAGAAAGGGGCACATCCATTCATACATTCCCTTGGGACACAGAATCTCAAACCAAGACAAAGTCCAGCTCCAATTCAATAAGTAAACTGGAATAATAAAAAGGCGAGGGTTGAAGGACAATTCCCATGCAGAATGTGCATCGCTGATGTGGCAATTGTTGTATGGGTTTCAGTTTGAACATACAAGTACTGGCATATGGCCGCATTTTATTTGGGATTTGGAGTTCTGAAGGAAAATAAATAAATAATTAAAGCATTACAAAGTAGAAGAATGCATGCTCACATATTCCGAGGTTTATTTATTCCCTTTAAATTATAGAACTTTCCATGCCTATTGTATGGCTTGTATGACCCACAAGAGGATTTTGTAACTTCTAACCCTTAAAGAATTTA